ACTATTGAAAGATGTGTGTAGAAGGGATGACAGTTGAGAAGATTTATTTATTTGTTTGTTTGTTTGTTTGTTTATTTATGGCATTTAAATGCTGCCCTTCTCACCCCAAAGGGGACTCAGAGCGGCTCACAAGATATACATACATACAATATATAATATTATTAGCATAGTACAATACCAGTTAAATATTACTATATTGTACTATACCATTATATTGTAATATTATTAGTAATATTACATGTAATATAAATATATAATTAGAATATCATATTATTAGTAGTATTATATTGTATTATATTGTATTATATTATAATACTAGCGGTCCCCTGCCACGCGTTGCTGTGGCCCAGTCTGGTGATCTGGAAAATAAAGTAATGAGAAAGTGTTGGTTTCTAATATATGTAATGTCTTTATGCTTGTGGGTAAACAGTATTTCTTGCTGTTTCTTTGCCAGTGTTGATGTGGAGATTGTCTGGGTTGCGTACTCTGGAATACGCAACATATCATTGCCCTTCTTTAGGGGTCCCTTTCAAATCTTTGATACTGCATCTGCCATATACATATATGTGTGTGTGTGTGAATGGCTGGATGGCCCTTTGGCAGGAGGGCTTTGATTATGTTTTCTTGCCCTGGTGAAGGGAGTTGGGCTGGATGGCCGTAAGGCAGCATTTCTCAACCTGGGAAGTCAAGACCCGGGGGGGGGGGGGGTCAGAAGGGTGACCAAAGACCACCAGAAAACACAGTATTTTCTGTTGGTCATGGGGGTTCTGTGTGGGATGTTTGGCCCAATTCCATCGTTGGTGGGGTTTGGAATGCTTCTTGATTGTAGGTGAACTATAAATCCTAGTAACTACAACTCTCAAATGTCAAGGTCTATTTCCCCCAAACTCCATCTGTGTTCATATTTGGGCATATTGAGTATTCGTGTAGTGTTTGGTCCAGATCCATCATTGTTTGAGTCCACAGTGCTCTCTGGATGTAGGTGAACTACAACTCCAAAACTCAAGGTCAATGCCCACCAAACCCTTCCAGTATTTTCTGTTGGTCATGGGAGACTGTGTGCCAAGTTTGGTTCAATTCCATTGTTGGTGGGGTTCAGAATGCTCTTTGATTGTAGGTGAACTATAAATCCCAGCAACTACAACTCCCAAATGACAAAATCAAATTTTTTGAGTGAAGGACATACATTGGGTTGTTAGGTGTCTTGTGTCCAAATTTGGTGCCAATTCATCCAGTGGTTTTTGAGTTCTGTGAATACCACAAACGAACATTACATTTTTATTTATATAGATATTGTACCATACAGATATAAAATATAAAATTATAATATTGTATTATAATTATTAGTATTATGTTGTATTACATTATAATATTAAAAATATTATATGTGTTCTGTCGCCGCTGGGCCTATAGCTAGTTGACTTTAGATATAGGATGTGTAACCTTTACCCAGAGGGAAGCCAGGGGCCCTAGGAAAAGTTCTCAGAGGCTTCCTTTACAAAAGGAATCTTCAAATGGCTTAAAAGGTACAACAAAGTCTTTTATTAATGAATCAAACAGGAATTGTAAAGCTTTCTTGGTAAAGTATCAGTTCTCTCAAACTTGTCCGCAGGGAACAGGCACTATCTTCAATAACTTTCTTCAAAGGAAAATTCCCCTTTTTAACTTCTCCCAAGGCTAACTAAAATCCAACCCTCACTGGTGTGGGCTCCTCTGCCAGGCCGAACTGCTTCTCGAAACACTGAGAGGACCTACCAGACAGGCAATGGATGTTCTTTAGAGTTGGCTGTCTTCCTGGAAACTCCCAAGGCTGTAGGAAGGAATCCCTGGAGTTCTTAGGAGACCCTTAAAGCTGTGGGAATGCTTCCCTGGCATTCTTTCCCTGGAGCTCTTAAAGGTTTTACAGGGGAAGTAAACACATCCTATACATTGGCAAATCTTGCTGTGACTGACTGAAAAATGGCCCCTTCCCTCCAAAAAAACCCAGAGAGGGGCGGGACCAGGGATCCTAACTATAATAGACAGGTGGCTTGCCCTATGATTGCAAACTATAACAGGAAGCCACCCTGCTGCAAAATCCCAAGCCTGGGATTGCAAACCAACATTTAATTCAAAGCAATAAAATTGGAGCTCCTGGAAGAGCTGTTCCAGAACACTATGTATATACAATATGTTATATTATTAGTACACACACACCACTTGCCTCATTTCCAACAAACCTTTGAGGATGCCTGCCATAGATGCAGGCGCAACGTTAGGAGAGAATGCTACTAGAATATAGCCATATAGCCCGGAAAAATTTCACAGCAATACAGTGATTCGGACATGAAAGCTTTGGACAGCACACCTGAGTATGCCTTACCTAGGGAAACTATGCAATTGGGAACTTGGAGACACATAGCTCTATTCCAATAGAGAGGACTGCTTGTGTTATGCAGGGGAGAGCAAGTGTTTGCCCCCTTCTGCCTGTAGCAGGGGGCAGGGGCGGCTCGTCCATTACGTGAAGTAAGCGGTCGCAGAACACTTTTTTTTGCCAGGGGTGTAGAGGCGCCTCTGTAAATGCCCCTCGACTGCCACTTGAGGAGCGCCCCTTCAGCTCACAACAGCCCTAGCAGTCCGGGGGGAGCCTCTGCTTTCTTGCCTCGCTGCTGGGCGATCCACTTCCCAAAGGAGCCAGGCCCTTGAGCCTCGCCTAGCCCCTCTCATTCCTGCTCCACCGCCACCGGGTGTGCGAGCAGAGCCGGTGCTCAATCGTTCTCCGCGTTCGATCCCTTCCCCATGACCGACTCCCTTTCCCAATCCCCCGGCGCTCCACCCGCCTCCTCTCCTCTCCCAATCCATGGGTGGGGCGGAGCTGCCACGCCTGGCCCGCTTCGGGTCCGGAGGCGTGTCTGAAGACCCCAGCGTGCGCACCAAAAGTCGCCTCTTCTCCTGACTTTCTCTTCAGCCATTGGGACCAAGAGAGAGAGAGAGAGAGAGCCCCTCCGGCTGGAGGTATCTCCCACCTCCGCTCCCTCCTTTGTTTTTGCGCCTACCTTCAGGAAAGGTGGGCATCTCCACCTCTGTCTCTCTCTCTCTCTTGGTCCCAATGGCTGAGGAGAAAGTCAGGAGAAGAGGTGACTTTTGGTGCACACGCCGAGGTCTTCAGGCACGCCTCCCAGGGCCGTAGCCAGAAAATTTTGCGGGGGGTTATAACCTGCCTCCTAGCTCACACTGAAGCAAATAGTACAGCAGGGGGCAGAGTAGCCTTCAATAGCCTGCAGCTCCGCCCCTGTCAACCACCTCCACCAAGTCTGGCCTCCTTAATGAGAGCATTCCCCCCCCCAACTTGGTTGCTTCACTACATGGGCTATTGCTGCAAGTAATGACAGTGTGAATAAATTGTCAATATTTGCTTGAGATAGTGCTTGCAGTTCTGGAGGGACTCTTAATTTTTTGCATCTCATAGACTTAGCATGGGGATTTGGTTAACCAGTTAAAATTCATGAGTAAACCATTTTTTTAACCTGAAAAATTGCTGACCTACAAGAAGCACTGCCTGTACATCAAGCAAAAAGTGGGTGCTAGAAACAATATCATACGAAAGCTGACTGGCACAACCTGGGGATCACAACCAGACACAGTGAAGACATCTGCCCTTGCGCTATGCTACCCTGCTGCTGAGTATGCATGCCCAGTGTGGAACACATCTCACCACACTAAAACAGTGGATGTGGCTCTTAATGAGACATGTCTGCGCCCTACACCACTGGAGAAATTACACTGCTTAGCCGGTATTGCACCACCTGACATCGCCGGGAAATAGCAGCCAATAGTAAAAGGACCAAGGCAGAGACATCTCCAGCTCAATCCCTTTTTGGATATCAGCCAGCACATCAATGACTTAAATCAAGAAATAGTTTTCTAAGATCTACAGAGACACTCGCTGGAACACCTCAGCAAGCGAGAGTCCAAAAGTGGCAGGCTCAAACCCAGAACCTCCAATGGCTGATACCAAATGAGAGACTCCCCCCTGGGCACACAGAGGACTGGGCGACTTGGAAGGCGCTGAACAGACTGTGCTCTGGCACCACGAGATGCAGAGCCAACCTTCAGAAATGGGGCTACAAAGTGGAATCCTCGACATGCGAGTGTGGAGAAGAGCAAACCACTGACCACCTGCTGCAATGCAACCTGAGCCCTGCTACATGCACAATGGAGGACCTCCTTGCGGCAACACCAGAGGCACTCCAAGTGGCCAGATACTGGTCAAAGGACATTTAATCAACTACCAAGCTTGCAAATTGTTTTTTTTTGTCTGTTTTTTTGTTCTGTTAGAAATATAATAAAATTGATTGGTTGTCCTGACACGACAAATAATAAACCATTGGGACCAAGAGAGAGAGAGAGAGAGAGAGAGCCCCTCCACTGGAGGTATCTCCCACCTCCGCTCCCTCCTTTGTTTTTGCGCCTACCTTCAGGAAAGGTGGGCATCTCCACCTCTCTCTCTCTCTCTTGGTCCCAATGGCTGAGGAGAAAGTCAGGAGAAGAGGTGACTTTTGGTGCACACGCCGGGGTCTTCAGGCATGCCTCCGGACCCAAAGCGGGCCAGGCAAGGGAGCAAGTGCGGCAAGTGTAGTTACTGGGATGTATAGTTCACCTACAATCAAAGAGCATTCTGAACTCCACCAATGATGGAATTGAACCAAATATGGCACACAGAACTCCCACAGAAAATATATATCAATGATTGGTTGGGGGTGGGGGGGATACTGTTTGCTTACAGTTGAAAATTACCTAGGGCCGCCTCTGAGTATGCCTTACCTAGGGAAACTATGCAATTGGGGACTTGGAGACACATAGAGACGCATAGAGAGGACTGCTTGTGTTTTGCAAGGGGAGAGCAAGTGTTTGCCCCCTTCTGCCTGTAGCAGGGGGTTTAGACTGGGGAGAGGGCGCCCCCCTCCCATCCTGTCGGCCTCCCATTGGCTCTGCGAGGGCGGGGGGCGGGAGCGGCTGGGCATTTGCAGGGGCCAAAGCCTGCCATTCTCTCTCTCTCGCCAGCGCTTTATTTTTAGCCGGCCGCTCAGGTCGGCTGGGATCCCGTTGCAAGAGGAGAGAGAGTGGGAGGAGAGAGAGAAGGAGAGGGAGGAGGAGGCTGGGACCTCGGCGGAGAAGGGACCGCATGCCCGGCGGGGCTGCCTCCTCCTCCTCCTCTGGCTCCTGCTGCAGGGAGAGCGGCTTGGGGCTTCTCCCGTTGGGCTACTGCGGCATCGCAGCCAGGGAAGGAAGGAAGGAGCTGCGTGGCCCTCGCCAATGGCCAGCCCCGAGGACGCCCCCCGCCCCGAGCCAGCCTTGGCCGAAGCCCAGCAATGGATCGAGGTAAGCCAAAGGGGAGCCGTGTCTCTATAGTGTGTGTGTTTGTCTCTGAAGTGATGCTTCCCTCTGCAGCATCGGGTTTTGGGGGGATCTTTTAGGCAGTGTGGTCCCGCCTTTGCTGCTGCAGGATGGGACTCAAGCAGGAGCAGGTTAAACCAGTGGAAGCAGAGACTCGGACGCTGGAGGGAGCGGGGGGGGGGGGGGGGAGACGTCTCTCTTGCCTTCCTCCTCCTCCTCCTCCATCTCCTCCTCCATCCTCCCGCTTAAGCTCTTAATCGCATTGGCTTCCTTCTCTTTCTCGGAATGTAATGCAACGGGAGATCGCCGGCAAAGAGCTAGCCTTTGGGACCCTAGGCTTGCTTTCTGGCAGGTTCAAGTGCGGGAGGAGGAAGAGGAGGAGGAGGAGGGACAATGAACCTGGCCCACGTGGGGATGGGTGGCCCACAGACAGAGGGAGGCACAGCCACAGAGAGCAGAGCAGGCAGCCTTTCTGCAGGGCTCTGAAACACAGCAAAAGTGGCATCCCCCCCCTCCCTCTCTCTCTCTCTGCATCCTTTCCATGTTGATCTACTGACCCAGGATTTGCATACCTACCTTTATCTGTGCATCTCTGTGTCGTTGTTTCTAGGCATTGGATGTTTGCAGGCCTGTAGTTGGGGGGGGGGAGGGGGTTCACAAGCACGTCTGGCGGGGACGAGAGATAGGGCCTTCTCGGTGGTGGCCCCTCGGCTGTGGAACGCCCTTCCTACCGACATTAGGCTAGCACCATCTCTAATGGTATTCCGAAAAAAAGTTAAGACCTGGCTGTTCGAGCAGGCGTTCGAATAATTAGTGCAATAATTGGTAATGAACATAGGAATCGAAAATGGTTGACGAGCCTGGATTATGTTTTTGTGGATGAGACGATAGTGATTAGTTATTGTAGTAAGTGTTTATTAGTTGTATGTTGCGCGGGACTGTTAACTGTTTTATATCTGACATTGAATTTCTGCTGTTCTTTTTAGTTGTGAACCGCTGTGAGTCGCCTTCGGGCTGAGAACAGCAGTATATAAGTAAATAAATAAATATATAAATACCCCCCCCCCCTTGAAATGTTTCAGATTTTTTTAAAAACCTGGTTTACTCATGAATTTTAACTGGTTAACCAAATCCCCATGCTAAGTCTATGAGATGCAAAAAATTAAGAGTCCCTCCAGAACTGCAAGCACTATCTCAGGCAAATATTGACAATTTATTCACACTGTTTGGAACCCGCCTACCTGCGTGACCGCATCTCTGTGTACGAACCCACACGATCTCTTCGTTCATCTGGAGAGGCCCTACTCACGATCCCACCTGCATCGCAAGGCGCGCTTGGTGGGGACGAGGGACAGGGCCTTCTCTGTGGTGGCCCCCCGACTCTGGAACTCTCTCCCCAAGGACATCAGACAAGCCCCAATGTTGGCAATCTTTAGGAAGAGCCTGAAGACCTGGCTGTTCCAGTATGCCTTTCCAAATTAGGAAACTCCTGGCATCATGTCCCAAATGCACTTTGTTAGAGACTAGGATTGTCTGCACATTGCACCTACCTCCAAAAACCTCTACATACCTCCTGTCAAGTTCAGCACTTTTAAATTTTGTCCATTACATTTGGCCCGGCCTTTTAGATTTTAAATGCATCATGTGTCATTGTTTTTAGTGTTTTATTGTCTTTGCTTGATGTTTTATTATTTGCTTATGAGTTTTACTGTTATATTTGTATGTTGTTTGTTGCGGCCTTGGCCTTTGTAAGCCGCATCGAGTCCTTCGGGAGATTTTGCGGGGTATAAATAAAGTTAATAATAATAATAATAATAATAATAGGGCTTTCTCGGTGGTGGTCCCTTGACTCTGGAACTCTCTCCCTAAGGACATCAGGGAAGCCCCAGCCAGGATAACTGCATGCCCATCCCCCTCCAAACACCTACCCTTTTTACCTGGTCATGCCCAGCACTTTTAAATTTTAATTATTACATTTGGCCCTGCCACAGATTTTAATTGCATCATGGTGTGTTATTAATGTTATTGCCTTGTTTTTGAGTTATTTTGCTGTATTGTTGTTGTTGTTTTTACTGTTGTATTTGGGCTCGGCCTCTTGTAAGCCACACCGAGTCCTCCGGGAGATGGTAGCGGGGTACAAATAAAGGATTATTATTATTATTATTATTTTGTCATTGTGGGGTGTGTGTGTTGAATGTTCTCATTAAGGAGGCCAGACTTGGTGGAGGTGGTTGACAGGGACGGAGCTGCAGGCTATTGAAGGCTGCTCTGCGCCCTGCTGTGCTCTTTGCTTCAGCGTGAGCTAGGAGGCAGGTTTCAACCCCCCCCCCGAAATTTTCAACCCCCCCCCCAAAATTTCAACCCCTCCCGAAATTTTTTTCTGGCTACGGCCCTGGATGTTTGTCTTAGAATCATAGAATCATAGAATCAAAGAGTTGGAAGAGACCTCATCGGCCATCCAGTCCAACCCCCTGCCAAGAAGCAGGAATATTGCATTCAAATCACCCCTGACAGATGGCCATCCAGCCTCTGTTTAAAAGCTTCCAAAGAAGGAGCCTCCACCACTCCGGGGCAGAGAGTTCCACTGCTGAACGGCTCTCACAGTCAGGAAGTTCTTCCTAATGTTCAGATGGAATCTCCTCTCTTGTAGTTTGAAGCCATTGTTCCGCGTCCTAGTCTCCAAGGAAGCAGAAACAAGCTTGCTCCCTCCTCCCTGTGGCTTCCTCTCACATATTTATACATGGCTATCATATCTCCTCTCGGCCGTCTCTTCTTCAGGCTAAACATGCCCAGCTCCTTAAGCCGCTCCTCATAGGGCTTGTTCTCCAGACCCTTGATCATTTTAGTCGCCCTCCTCAGGACACATTCCAGCTTGTCAATATCTCTCTTGAATTGTGGTGCCCAGAATTGGACACAATATTCCAGGTGTGGTCTAACCAAAGCAGAATAGAGGGGTAGCATTACTTCCTTAGATCTAGACACTATGCTCCTATTGATGCAGGCCAAAATCCCATTGGCTTTTTTTGCCGCCACATCACATTGTTGGCTCATGTTTAACTTGTTGTCCACGAGGACTTCAAGATCTTTTTGTCTTGTGTCTGTATATGCTGGAATCCGCCCTGAGTCCCCTTGTGGAGATAGAGTGGAATACAAAGTATTATTATTATTACTACTGTATATACTCAAGTATAAGCCTAGTTTTTCAACCCTTGTTTTAGGCTGAAAAAGTCCCCCTTGGCTTATACTCAAGTCAAGGTTATTTATTATTTTACTCTGTCATTATTATTATTATTATTGCATTTATTGTATTGCCAAAGGCTTTCATGGCCGGAATAACTGGGTTGTTGTAGGTTTTTTCAGGCTATATGGCCATGGTCTAGAGGCATTCTCTCCTGACGTTTTGCCTGCATCTATGGCAAGCATAATAATATAATTCTCACCATCCTCTCTCCTCGAAGGGACTCAGGGCAACTTCCAAATGCAAAGTCAAATATTCAATGCCATATACAGTACAATCATAAAAACGCAACACAACAAAATAACAAATAAATCATAGCTAAAAGTGAGTGTAAATTAGACTCTATGGGGAGGATAAATGATCAGGTGTCATAAGTGCAATAGCAATAAGTACTGTTTAAGTCTGAAATCTAGGAATATAAATATAAAAGTGACCCTGCAAATGTTTAAAGACCTTGGCCTGCACTTAAACCCAATCGGCGCTAACAAAATTACCAGCTGCAGAAGGCCACCCTACTTGGATCTGCACGCATTATTCGCCGATACATCACACAGTCCTAGACACTTGGGAAGTGTCTGACATGTGACCCAATACAACAGCCAGCAGAGTGATCTTGTCTGCTATGGATTCATCATGTTGTGTTTCAAATAGCAATAATAATAATAATAATAATAATAATAATAATAATAATAATAATACTTTATTTATAACCTGCCCTCTCTTCCCGAAGGGACTCAGGGTAGTTTACAAAGAATAACAAAAATAACAAACATTCAGTGCCAAAAATAAACAAACAATAATCAAGACAAAACATGAAATAAAATGAACTTAACATAACTTATAGACAATATTGTCATCAAAGGGCCCTTCTAGATAGACCCTGTATTCCAGGATCTGATCCCAGGTTTTCCGCTTTAGGCCTGAGTATATGAGTCTCCACTGCCAGATATTCTGGGATAAACAGAAAACCTGGGATATAAGGCCTGTCTGGAAGGGCCCAAAATTCCCTGCACAGAGGAGAATCAGAACAGAGGGGGAGATTGGACATCAAAGATGAGAGCAAAACATACTTGCCTGCCTAAGCAAGGCTGCCTATACACATAAGGGACCTTAAAAGACCAAAAAAGACAAACACATTGATTTTTTTTATTTTTTTATATTGGGTACATAATAGTGCAATCTGTGAATTGGTAATAAACACCTATTGCGTATACACACTGTAAATATTAAAGTATTTCTGTATTATCTATTCACCTTTTTTACAGAATTAATTCTTCTTTTCACATTTTTTTATTTTTCTGCCCTCCCATCACCCTTCACCATACCCCCTCCCCACCACATTTTCCTCTACATCAGTGGTACTCAACCTGTGGGTCCCCAGGTGTTTTGGCCTTCAACTCCCAGATATCCTAACAGGTGGTAAACTGGCTGGGATTTCTGTGAGTTGTAAGCCAAAACACCTGTGGACCCACAGGTTGAGAACCACTGATCTATCTTTATATTTAACAATTGACACAATTTTCTTAATCTTTGTACAATATCTATAATGGCTTCACCACTTTTTATCCATTCCATATAAGACACCAATTTCTCTTTAATTTCTCTTCCGTTTTCTCCTCCTGTGTATCCTCTCGAACTATACATGCTATAATGTCTGATTGGACTTGATCGAACAGGTAATTGTTCCAGCTTACCAAATTCGATTTCTTCTATCTCTCCACTCCCATGTTATTACTGCTTTAAACAA